GTCATTGTGCACTTGCTATTATTATTACGTCATTCACGTCTGAAAGTTGAACAGTTTACTTCAAAGGAGATTCTGATGGTGAACTTTGAATTCTCAGCTTATTTCTGGGATCTTCACTAACTTATACTGTTATCTTTTTTCTTTAGCATTTATGCCAGTTAGCCTTTTCAAAAATCCTACAGAGTATTATATGTATTTTATGTATGAGAAACACCAGGGTTCAGGAGGCCTAAATGTTTGTCTAAGGCCACACAGCTAGTAAGTGTCTAGTGAGTGCCCCACGTCAGGCACACTATGAGCTTGAGAAAGACCCACAGAAATATATCACAACCTTAAGTCACCCCGAGACTCCTTGGACGCCATATGCCACATCTGCACTGACCAGGTATTGGGACTTGACGTGTTCACCTTCTCTAGTTACATTAACTCAGAAAATGAATTTGAAGGCACAGGAAAAGATATGTTATGTGGTTCCGTGTGCCAGACACTGTGCTAAGTACCTTCCGTGAATTATTTCATTCAATTTTCTCAACAGCCCTACAAAGTAGGTATTAATAGCTACATTTTACAAGATAGGAAAACTAAGGCTCTGAAAGGTTAAGTAATTTGCCTAAAGTGCCTTAGCTGAGAAGGAGTGATACTTCTTGGGTGTTGGAATCCACGGCTACTTGGTTCCACTGCTCTTCACCATCTTAGAGTGAGGAAGGGTATGTAAATGCAAACGTGGTCCAACAATGAACCACAAGCTAGAGAATTCTTTTTCATAGAGTTTGATAGTTATATGAGTATTAGACAATTATTTGGTTATACTATTTTAATTACGTGTAAATATCTAAAACATGAGTTTGCATGACACTGATTTCTGACTGCTATTCAAACATCTTAGTAACCAAGCACCTTCTCGTACAAGAAGTTCAGGGGCTTTCATCGTCAAAAGTTGGGTTGATAAACGACAGCCCATGGGCCCAATCCTGCCTACCCCCTGGTTTTTTGAGGCCCACGAGCTAAGAATGTTTTAACATTTCTTTTAATGGGTGAAAAAAGAGGAATATTTTCTGACACATGAAAAGTACATAGAATTCAAATGTCAGGGCCCATAAATAAAGGCTTTATTAGAACACAGCCAGGCTCATCTGTTTATATATTTTCTATGGCTGCTTCTGTGTTACTACCGCATAGAGTTGAGAAGTTGTGAGAGAGACTGTATGGTCTGCAAAGTCTAGATATTTCCTATCCACGTTTCTACAGAAAAAAGTTTGCTGACTCCTGTTCTATAGCATTTACATATTCAGACACAATTTGAGTTTCTGAATTTTTTCTATGAAATTTTGAAACATTTTAAAGTTATTTTTTTCTTTTCTTTTTTTTTTTTCCCCAGCAAGAACACTAAAGTAGTCTTGCTCTGAAAAAATTTTGACAACCTGGGCTGATTTGAAATGACACCATTAGATTATGGTCCAGTGCCTAGTGGGTCCTGCTTGAAAGGCCTCCGCCTTCACTCATCTTTTAGATACACTAGAGTTATCTCTAGATTGTAAAGCTGCGTCTTACTACCTGAGCAGTCCTTCCTTTATTCATACTGTGTTATGGGTTTAGTTTCACAACATTATGAGTTCATCCATCCAGGCTTCTTCTTCTTCTTTTTTTTTTTTCAACCAGGCTTCTTGAATCATTTATAGGGATTTTCATTTTCGATCTCAAACTCTTACACACTTTCTCTGCTGTGAAATTTTTTTAAATGTAAAGCTCAGGGTACTAAATGGCCTACACATATAAAATAAAGCCCGTACTTTTATTTAGTTTTTAGCTTTAAGAAATCAAAATTTAAAAACATTGCTTTCTCTTGAGAAACGAAACTTAATTTTGCAGGTGGCAGAAGTAAGAAGATGCCTGCATGTCCAAGGATCTCAAAGCACCTCTGGTGGAAATACATAACAAGGTAAAGAACGTCTATTTATTTTTAAATCTGTTTATTTCTTGGAGGAATTAGTATTTAATGGAAAAGATGTGACTAGTAACAAATAGAGCCCAAGGCTATTTCTGGTTCTGTCATTGACTCACTTTGACTTTGGGCAGATCATCTCACCACTGTTGCTCTTTATCTGCAAAAACTGGACTTCATGTCTATGGGAGTTGCATGGCTAATCAATGCCTGGAAAATGCGTAGTGGCAGATGCTACAAAAGTGCTGAGCCTTAAAAACAAAACCACCCCCACCCCCCATTTGTATTCAGTTGAGGTTCGGGCTTATTGTTATTTAACATTCGGAGGCCAACAGTACGTTAAGTCCAGCGTGCTACACAGAACAGATAATATCACTGTCCAGCAGGGATTTTTTTTTTAATCTAAGATTTTGGACTTTTTTTTTCTTTATTGTGGTTGGGGGTTGTTTTAGAATCTAGTAGTATTTCCATACAAAAACATTCAGCTCTAAGTTGAAAACTATCGATTTGAAAATCTAAATAACCCCCCTGCAGGGGGAAAAATAAATAAATAAATAAAAAGCCCTCCCCGCCCCGCCAAGAAATCTCTCAAAACAAGAATTCTTCTGATGTTTTTTTCCTCCCTGCAGTTCTCCATGTTACAGTCCTTGGAGGTAGAATAGGCATAAAATACTTTCACTAATAAAATATGACAAACCGCCGGATTATACGTGGCTGATTCCCAGCGACTGCCCTGCTACACAAAGCAGAAAAGTAAATGCCATCATCCCCCTTAGAACAAAAGAACTTAGGAATAAAAAACATGGAGAGGGGGGAGAAAGCAGCAATAAATAAAGGTGAGCGAAGGATCCCGTCCCCCGCCCCTCCCCGAAGCGAGTGTGGGACTAAGTACGGCTAATAAAGTGGTTCAAGGGTAGTTATTTGGAAAGGGGGCGGGGTGGCGAGGGGAGGGAGCGGGCGAGCGGCGGCCGGGGATTGCATGTTGCATTCGACTTGAGGTTGCATCTTTCTCCTGTTGCCTGGACCACGCTCTCCCATTGCAGTGCTTCCCCATCGCTTCTCTCCGTCCCTGCCCTCGCGGCTTTATTTCCCCCCTTCCAACTGCTGTTGCACTGGAGGGAGTTGGGGCCGCTCCGGAGCCCCTGTGCAGCTCCTGCGACGGGAGGGGGAGTTGGGCTCGGGCCGCTGAGTTGGGGGGGCCGCAGCGGGCTCCGGCCTCGCCTCGGCTGCAGCTACACGGGTGCCGAGCTGCAGCGCTGCACGGGGCCCATCATTGCGGCGGCCCCGGAGTTTGGCCGCCGCCGCTCCTTGTTCAGCCCCATCACCGCCGCCGCCGCTGCACTGGAGTTTGGCTGCTGCTGCCCTACTTCACTCTAGTTTAGTTTCACTCACTTTACATCCGGGTTTTTTCCCTAGGCAATGGGGACCGCAGCACACCCCGTTCCTTAGGCAAAGTGAAATAAATTCGCCGCACCGACACGTCAAGTAGTCCGCCCGCCCGAGCGCCGCCGCGGGCCCCCACCGCCCCTCCCGCCGCCGCCCCGTCGCCCCTGGGGGGGACCGCGCGCCCCGTGAAGCCATGGGAGGAGGCGCGGGGGCCTGGGCCGGCCGCCGTACAACTCCGCCCGGCGGCCCCCTCCCTCCCCGCCGTTCCCCTCTACCCCGGCGCCTCCTCTCCCCCCGCCCTCGTCCCCGCTTTCCCAGCCCCAGTCCCTCTCGCCCGGCTCTCGGGAGCGGCGGGGGCGCGCACGGCGGCGGCGGGCCGGCGGGGCCGCGCGGCGGGCTCCCGCGCGGGCGAGTGTGTCTGGGCCTGGGCGGAGGGATCCCCGGGCTGAGGCGGCGGAGGTGCTGCGGCCCGGGGCCGGGTGGTGAATGGGCTGGTGGTGCTCGCTGCTGCTGCTGAGAGGAGGAGGAGGAGGATGAAGAGTTGGGCTTGTTTGTCTCCCACAGTTTCTCTCCTGCTGCTCTGATTTTCCCCCCACATTCCGGCCCGGGGCCTGTGTGTCTCTCCTGGAGGAGGAGGAGGATCCAGTTCCTCCCCCCACCCCCTCCTCCCCACCCCCCCCTTGCCTGGGGAAGAGGAGGAAAGAAACAGCCCAGAGAGAGAGGGAGAGAGAGAGAGAGTGAGTGAGAGAGAGAGGGGGAGAAGAGGAGAGGAGGAGGAGGAGGAGGAGGAGGGAGAAGGGAACAACCTACCATCTTAACACACTAATATCTAAAAAGTGCGAGAGGCCCAGAGCAGCAGCAGAAGCAGCAGCAGCAGCTCCAGCTTCTTCCCTCCCTCCCCATGAAGAAGAGTTCCCTCCTCCTCCTCCTCCTGCTTCTCCTGCTCAGAGTTCCTGCCTCCAGCTGCCAGGGGGGACAGCCAGCCAGCAGCAGGAGGGTGCAGTATCCCAGCTTTTCCATTCTCTCTTCTCCTCACTCTCTTTTTTTTTCTGGAGTAGCTCTATTTCCCCTCCCTCCCCCCTTCCCCTTCCCCCTCCCCCCTCCCTCCTCTCTCTCTCTCTCTCTCTCTCTCTCTCTCTCTCTTTCTGTCTCTCTCTCTCTCTGTCTCTCTCTCTCTGTCTTGTCTCTGGTGTTTGTCTCTGGGAGGTACAGGGTCTGCTTGCTTGGAGTTTGTTTTGGGGGGAGGGAGGGGGAGGGGAGGGGTGTGTGGGAGGGAGGAGGGAAAGGGGGGTGTTCTCGGCAGGACCCCCTCAGTCAACTTGAGATTTGAGCAATAACTTCCCCTTCGGGGCGCCCCCCCTGCGTGCCCTTCCTATTCCTCCCCCCATAAAAAAAAGACAATGGAAAAACCTTGTCTCCCCCTTTCTCCCCTCTGCCCTCCACCCCTCCCCAGGATAAATTGGAAGTAAGTTTATGAGCAGCTTCGGGAGCCTGGGCGCTGAGTGCTGGGCCGGAGCGGGTGACAGAGGCGGCGCACCGGGGGTGGCGGGGAGGGGGCGTCACATTGTCCCGGCGGGGGGCCGGGGAGGGGGCCGCCGGCGTGGGCGGGGGGCGCGGAGCCTCGTCCGCCCCCTTGGGCTCTCCCTCCGCCCAGGGGTGGTCGCCGGGGCTCTTTCACTACCCCCTCCCCCCAGGATGATGTCGGGGGGAAGTTTTTATTATGGTTATTTATTTAATTTTTTTTTTTTTTGAAAACCATCTTGTTTGGTGACTGAGGGATCTGGTTTAAAAAAAAAAAAAGCTGCGGCTGCTGCCGCTGCCGGGCCCGAGTGTGTGTGTGTGTGTGTGTGTGTGTGTGTATGTATGTGTGTGTTGGTGCATTTGTCTTGGGTGGCCGGAGCAGCGTTGGGGAAATTCCGCTTATTCTTCTTCTTCTGCAACTTGTTATTCCGGAGAGTGTGCCAGCACCCCTCACCCCGGGGCCGGTCCTCCCGCACTCGCCCCCGCATCCCGCGGCCGCGGGGCGCCCCCGGGACCCTGCGCTGGCCGGGGCCGCCAGGCCGCTCCAAGAGGGGCCGCAGCCGCCCCTCCCCCGCCCGCGCCCCCGCCGGGGGGAGGGGCGCGCGGAGTGGGACTCTTTCCGTTTGGTCCAGCCCCGTCGTGCACGCAGTTCCCAACACTTCTCGTCATCCTCTCTTTGGTCTCTTTATTCTGCTGAGCGGTGCTGTTAGGATTTCTTTTTTTCCCCTGACCACGTTCGCGATGGTGGGTAGCAGCAAGGTGGCCCTGGCAGGGGAGGGGTTGATGTCGAGATTGGGCACCGGGGGAAGAATGTCTCCTTTCAACTTTGTGACTTGCACCCCCGCAGAAGGCCACACGCCGGTTGTGGGGTGCAGATGTGCTGAGAGTGATTTCTAAGTAGTTGAGTTGTTGAGATGAGGGGTACGGCTGCTAATGGTAGGCAGTTTTGTTTTTATTGGTGAATCTGGTGTCATCATATTCCGGTCATATGTTGAAATATTCTTTGTTTAGGTCTTGAAGTAGAGGATCTTACTTTTCACGTCCACATTGTGTTGTTTTTAAATGATGTCTCTGCAAGTATGGCTTTCTAGAATTTCACATGTGAGTTAAGGTCCGGGCGTATGCGGGCCTCAGCACTGGCCTTGACAGTGAACTTTGTGACTGTGTTTTGGATTGCAAAGATTTGCCCCATAACTGGGGTGCGAGCTGTGCATTTTTGTTAATAGTAGGTGTCAGGAATGTAGATGCTTGAGGTGAGGACGTTAGAGAAGGAAGAACATTTATATATTAATAATTGATAGCTGAATATTAGAAACAGATTAATTTGGGCTGACGAAATTTTTTTTTTAAAGCAGTTATGCACTCTAGGAAACCTTTTCATAGGCACACTTTTTAGGGGTTCTTTAGGGCACAGAGCTTGAATATCTCCTTTTAGAGAGGTTACTCACCAACATCTGTAGCTTCATTGAGGGCCTGATAAGGGGACTGAAACTGGGGCTATGACATCTGAGTGTACTTTTCAGTGTTTATGTTGTTTGTTTACATCTGATGTTCACTCAAGTTTGGGCAGTGGAAATAAATAGGTCAGATTTTCTTTTCGTTTTTGAAGACTAGCTCTCTCCCCCTCCCCCTCCCCTTTTTTTTAAGTTTCACAATTTACTTGGTTTCACAGCGTTGTAGGAAACTGTTACTACATTTTTACTGGAAATACTATTATTCATTTTGATTTTGGTAAGTTCTTTTCTATTCTTTTTTCTGTCTCTGTATATGGAATCTACATCGTGAGCTCAAAACTGGCTTATTAAGGGCCATTTAAAATGTCTGAAGAATGCACTTTAAAATCTCAGGACACATCTTTTGATGGCAAAGAGGAAATTTTTGTGTGCAGTTATGCTCATGTTTATGAAAAAAATTTCTGCACTTAAAACTTCTGTAGATATACAACTGTCCTTAAATGAAGAGCATAGTAGTAGTGCAGAAAATTCGCAAAACACAAACTTTTGGCTAACATGTTAAAAATATTCCAGGTGTTTTTCTTTATGTCATACTTTTGCTTGTCTTAACATAATAGTATTTGCAATATGACTGGCATTGCTTGGATGGTCTTAATAGTCTTTTCCTTGAGTGCTTCTGAAGGCTTTTTAACATAGTTTTTAGCTAATTTTGGAAGCTTTATTTAAACATGTTGCACTTTGAACTCTGGCGGGTCTTTATGGAACTGGAAAAGTAATAAATTAAGACTCCTGCCTATGCCAGATTTTACTTTTAAGAGGTATAAGTGATGGATGGGGCCCTATTTCTTTTAGCTGTGAAGGGTCCATCCTTTTTCCCATTCAGTCATCTGGAAAGAGCTGCGTCAGAAATACTCTTCTTCTGCTTACATGAAGAACTCTAAATGCTATCCAGCAGGAGGTGCTGCAGCAAGATAAAGGAAATCTATGAATTTTGAGGGTCTTGCTACTTATTACAGCTCTACTTAGCATCAACTAAGCAACAGGATTAACACCTTAAAGTTCCAGAAAGATTTTGAGTAAGTCCATTGAAAAGTTCCATTTGCCATTTGAAACAAATTTTTGACTGCTTTTTACCTGCTTACAATATTACACAAAGTAGATTGCTTATTGTGGATAGCTTAAGGATGCTGCCCTGAGGTACAGAGTGCTGTTAGAATTATTTTAGTTTGAAGAGGGGTTATTCTCATATTGGTGAGTGGGGTGCTGAACACATTTTTAAAAATTATGTGCAATGGATGGCTATAAACAAAAGTAGTTGGTATGACTTGGGACTTTAGGCTTTATGGTCATCCCTATAATGTTAATACAAGTGGGATATAGAGTACTTGAACTATTGGAAAGGGAGATATTGTATGGAAAAATTTTTAGACTTTTTGTGTTTTTTTCCTCCAATCTATGGACAGTGATCCTAATAGATAAATTCTTAGGCACTCAGCGTTATAAATACGTATGGTTGATGTATTTGAGTTGGCCTCCAAAGACTGAGATTCTTGAGCTAGAAGTAAAGTTCTGTCTGTGGGTATGGGTCATTGCTGATATGTCCCTTAGTAACACTTAACAATAACTGCATAAAGATGAAAGTATTTTTGTAGCATTTATAGCACATGTCCTTTGAAAGTCTGTTAGTGTTAGGTGAATTGATTTATCACTGGAAATATCATGCTACTGTGGCGGCTTGTAAAGTTTTATGTCAAAGTTTAAAAACTTGGGAATGTGTAGAAAATTTGATGAATCTGCCTTGAATTTTGTTTGTTTTTTAGGAATAATACTGTACTTTTTTCTCAATAAGATCAAATGAGATAATACATGTGAAAGTGCTTTGTAAATTGTCAGAAACCATGCAGATGTTAAGTTGTTGAGATAGGTGGCTAATTAATACATGGACAGAAGCTTCTGTCTTTAAAATACTAACTTTCTCCATATCATTTGGGAAATGAGTGCATTAAAAGTGCACCCAGAACACTTTATGAATTTTTTTTTTAAATACCGCTGTGGTTACCAAAAAGCTCTTTGTTACAGTTTTGAAGCTTTGTTTAAAAAATGCTGCCTAGGCAGTTTCCCTTAATTCAAAAATAAGATCATTTTTCCTTTTGTAGATCCTGTGAAATGTGTATTCCCTGTTAAAGTTTTTGTTCATTTCACCATTGATGTGATAGTAGTTGATTTTAGTGATTATTTAAGTTCCCGGATTCTTCTATAGACTCTTATTAACACACAGAGTAACAGATGTCACAGTTAATATTTTGATTGTTTTGACTGATCCTGCTAACATTCTGAAAAATTCTTACTAACTAAACCTTTCAAACTTGTTTCAAAGTGAAAAAGACATATTTGTATGCATTAGTATTAGGTACGTGTGTGTATCATTTTTGTTTTTCTAATTTAGAGGGATGCGTGAGGAAATGACTACTCAAATCTAGAGGAGTGCACTGAAATATTTTTTTGTGTAAAAATAACCCAGAAGTTTAAAACTCAGAACTTTGAGTTCTGGCCTTCTTAATAGACTCTGCTCACCTATTTGGACTAAGGTAAAATGACATATAGATAATTGGGAGTTCCTATGTTTACGAGCGTATCAAAAGATAGAGTACCCTAAATTTTAGAATTGACTGCTTTTTATGAAATAACCTCAATTAGAAATGAAATGTAGAAACTTGCTTCGGTGAAGGGTGAGAAAAACATTTAACTGTTTAGATAAAAATGAAACCTCTCAGGGTAATATTAACGTTTTTATCCTCCAGACAGTGAATACTAAAGCTTTTATTGAGGAAATACTGACATTAAGGTTATATTAATGTGCTTTTAAATTTTGTATCCTTAGTATTTTATGCCAAAGTCTTTTGTATTTAATTAGTATTGAAAGGGAGAAAAGGAAGGGATTAAAGTTTTAGGTCTCTGACCTTTGACAGAATTCCTTTATATCTATATTCAGAGCTGATTTCTTGTTTGAATTTTCGTATTAATTTGTCATGGGAAATATTAATGATTTATGTTGACTTCTCAGAACTTTTGTACATGGGCTTTTTTTGTGGGCCCTAAGTATTCTTTAGGAGCATAGCAGTGTGTTTTGATCACTTTAAGTTTACCAGGTGTGTATTTTTGCTGCTTTGTGGTGTTTTGTTTTGTTTTTAAAGAGGTAATATATTAACACTGCATTAAAAGTATTGTAGATAATTATTTCTTACATAGCATATGTTTCCTTCTTTGTATATTTGTGTGTATATGTGGCCACACTGTTTTGTAGGCTTTCATATCATCGTATTTGTGTACTGAATTTCTGAACAGTTATCTTTTGTGAGAATGCTGAAATAGACCTTTAAGAATAACTTTTATATTGCTTGTCTACCAATTGAGTCTTAAACTGGGATGGTGGTGAACTCTTCCCTTTTAGAGATAATATTATGTGAGTTTCAGTCATCCTTTGGGCTTTTCTAAGGCAACTTTCTTACACTGGACACTTGTTTGGCAGTTTGAATGCCTCTCTGCTTCTCTCCCTCCAATACACTGCAAACTGTACACCCCCCACCCCCTTGCTAAATACAAAATAGTGAGCGGGTCTCGGCTGAAGGAAACTATTCTTTCCTATATTTTGGAATCATCTGTGGAAATGTTTTTCTGCTTTTTAAAGTAGACAAAAAAGTGAACCGGTAATTTGGAAATAGGAAAGGGATGGGGCCTAACAGGTTGATGATCTAGGCTTTATTTTGGCTCTGTTTGTGGGCCTAGGGGAGAAAAATAACTTAAACACAGAAGCCAGAAAGATGGGTTTTGTTTTATTGTTTTGGCTGCATTGAGAATACAAACTGTCAGTACTTGAGGAGAAGGAGCAGCAGAAAGGAATTGATTTTTTTCTGCTGCAGATCCAAGTATTGTTAACCATGTGCATCTCTAAAGCAGCATACTTAGGTATTAAACAGTAGTTGATTCTTTTATTCAGTTAACAGTCAGAACCCTAAACTTTTGTTTTTTTAGATTTTAAATAAGTACCCAAAACTTCAGAGTTAATGACAATAATTTCCTGATAAAAGTGGGTGATAGTAACCATGGCAACTGCTATCTCTGGCCTTATGGACAGTATGTTGTATTGATGAAGCTTCAGATCCTATAGTAGCCTGTCACTTTTATGGTGAAATGTAGTAGCTTGTGTTGCAGGTGATTTTTAGCTGGATTATGTTAAATTTGTGTGCCAGCTTACCTTTCCTTGTTAGGAATTTCTTGGACTGTATTCCACAGCATGTTTGTGAAGGTGCTGTTGCCTGAAAATAACCCACCACCTGTGTTAGGCCTCCTGATGCAGATTGCACTTAGTTCTTTCCCAGCCTCCTCCTTCAGTCTTGTAGAATATAGGGGTGTGTGTAGAAACTATATACATAAATTACAGCTCAAAGTTGTCTACTTGGGTTTGGACATGTTATTGATTGCTTAAAAAAAAATTTTTTTTTTTTTTTTTTGAAGACGTCAGTGGATGAGAGAAATGGAATTTTTTTCCCCTGAGTGTTCTTTTCACACGTGTGTGTGAAATGAAGGGTGAGGAGTGGAGGGGGTAAATATTGAGTAAGGACTTGACAAAAGAGGAACTTAAGTATTATTCGTTTTTCTCTTGTGTGTGTGTGTGATGGTGGTATGTGTATAGCTATAAGAATACATTTCCTAATGGGCAGTATTAAAGTACGGGAAATGTTTTCTTATGAGAATTTCCTTCAAGAAAAATTATTCATCAAAACATAACTTGAAAGAGTGTTACGAGAAAAGCTGGTAAAACAAAACTTTTTTGGGGGGTGGGGAATAGAAAGCTTTGAAACTGATCAGACTTTAAAAAATTGTTTTAAAAATTGTGTCTTTAAATATAATTTAAAAATTGTAACACATCTTTTTGCTTTTTAAGGATTTCTTTTATATGCTTATCCTGTATAAGGTTTTTCTAATGTGAAAATGTTGATCTAAATGTTAATTGATACTTTTTCCAGTATATGCTAAAGAATCTGTGCTAGGGCAGAGAACCACCAAATTTTATCTGGATTTGACTAGGCCCTGATAGTAAGATCTAGTCAGATTGTGCTAGATAGTTCAGTTTCTTGAAACTTACTGTGATAGGGGGAAGTGGTTTACTTACTACAAGTCCCAAGATGCTTTGCGGTTTTTGCCTAACTCCAGAATAGAGCATTGCATGCTGGGACCTGTAGTTGATTTAAACAGTACAGGGAACCCTTCTCTCCTGTCTACTCCATTTTATACACAGCTTCCCAAGCCTCTAAGAACTTTCTGCTAAGTAAAGTTTGATTGCTAATATCAAGGTTATTACGCTGCTGATATTCTAAAGTGAGTCTTCAGAAACACCCTAGTGTATTAGTTTACCTTAGATGAGTTTGCTGTTTTTTTAAGTCAGTTACTGTAAGATTTACATGTAAAATAGAGTACGTGTGTATATAGAGTCAAAACCTGACTTCGCAATTGTAAATTTTTTTTGTCTGTGACGCTATAGGTCCCTATAATTACAGCATTAACTGATTGCTAGTGTGGGCATTAGAATTAGAAGACTGTTATTGTGGGGCCGGATATGTATGCTGTTCTCTTTTCTTTGAATGGGGACAATTATTCAGTAAAGTTGGACGGAAGGGTATTTTTGGTGCCAGTATTTAAGCTCAGAGTTTTTTATTCTTCTGTAATGATTGTCAACATCTTGAATCTCAGTATTCTTTAAATGGAAGACAGACTCCTGAAAATACATGTGATTTTAGTGTAAATTTAATACTCAAAGGTATAGGCTGGAAGGTGGAGAAAAAGGGAAGGTTTCTTTAATAATTTGTTTATATTTTCATTTGTAAACTTAAAATTTCTGTCCTTTTGAGGGTCTAATACTTTCACTTTATTAACGACTGTCAGTGCTGTGGGGATTAAACGTTAAACCCGTGAACGTGATTAGCACAGTTCCTGGCCCGTAATGAAGGCTCAGTAAATGTTTACAGACTTGGCAATAGTAATAGTAGTAGTGGTTATTGTTGTTTTAAAAAAAATA